TGAGCCTGCTCGGAAGCAAACTCTGGGCAAAACATCACCCTCTTTGTGAACATACGGATGATCTCCATCACCGACTCCCCGTCCTATCTCAATCTCAAAAACTCCTGAGCCAATCGTTCCCACTAAACCTAAGGGATGTAACGAGCGCGGAACATATCCCTGAACTGCTCCCAAGTAACCGCAGCTCTCTGATCATCAGTGTACAGCCCTGTCGTCAATCTTCACCAGTCCTTGGCCCCGGACCTCAGCAATTTCAAGGCACACCTGACCTTCTGGTCAGTAGGACACGAGCAAGTAAAGAAGCACTCATCCACATCATAAATCCACCTCATAGCCTTGATGGGGTCCTGGGTCCCATCGAAAGTATGGGGCTTCATGTTATCGCAATCCTTGTACTGGAAGCCCCGACTGGCTCCTACTCCTCCCCCTGCCGTCGATACAGCCGATGCAGCTGCAGCGACAGCCGTCTCCGCAAGGGCTGCGTATCTGTCATCTAAGTACTCCATCATAGCGGTCTTGATAGACCCAAACAACTGCGGAATCTGACCCCGGACAATCTCGACCACCTCCTCGCGGATGACCTCCCTGACACGGTCCTCTGTCAACACTGGCCCCTCCTGGCCGACAACCTCAGGCGCGGACGGGGCCTCCTGATCGCCTTGACCTTATCCCGATCCGGATCTAGTCACAAAATGCCTCGTAACCACCATACTGAAAAATATAACAGGAAGATATCAGATAATCTGCATAAATAATGGGGAACCAACTCCCGACTAAACCCTAGGGGTTGTGACTTCCTTGCTATGTGTATGGGTGATATGCTTTCAGTAGTACGGACCTATACTACCTTCGACACCTACCCATATTTGTCTCAAATATCATCATAACACCCTAACAATATACGTTCACATGGTGGTCGCTCAATCCTCACTCCTAGAGGAAGGCTAACTGTCTCACATCGACCTACCGGCCTCACACAACTCACTCATCCATGAAACTTACACCAACCCTGCAACACTAGTGTATGCTAACCATACATAACGATGAACCCTATAGACTTTCGAATATCTGATCCTACCCTAAGCCCTAATCAATACGAATAGAACATAAGGCCAAATCAAACATTCTCGGGCTATAAGATCTTAATTATGTACTGTCGTGATACATACACAAATAACTACAGTAGTGATGTCAATCTCATATAAGGAAAACCCTAGGCTAGCAAGCATCATGTAATCATGCAATTCCTAAAGATCCCTAGCCTAGTACTAGCATACTGTTCTAACATATCACAATATCAAATAACCATATGGTATTTTGGGGTATACTTACTCGCTCCGGCTGATCGTACACCCTGCATCCTCCTTTTTCTCATTTTGAAAACCATTTTAAAATTTATTTTGAAAATCCTTCCTTGGTTTGAGAATGGATTCCCACTAATATTCCTCCAATTCACTCAAACCAAGGCTCTGATACCAACTTGTAACACCCATAAAAATCATGCCAAATTTAAAATTTTTAAAACATATAAAACCAACAGTCATTACAAATTCGTTTTCAAAATAGTCTATATCAGAGTCTCCAAGAAACAAAGTCATAAAAAGTGAGGAGCGATACGATCACGCCTTTGCCTTGCCACGGTCCCCTGAAGTACCTGAAACAATAAACTGAAACTGTAAGCCTGAGAGCTTAGTGAGTTCCCCCCAAAATACCCATACACACCATAATACACATATAATCGTAAACAACATACTATGGGTCCGGTCAACCATCGGGTTGGAATACCCCAGGCCCCCAACCATCCGGTTGGAATGCCAACATACTATGGGTCCAATCATCCTCGGGATGGAATACCCCAGGCCCACAACCAACAGGTTGGAATGCCCACATACTATGAGTCCAATCATCCTCGGGATGGAATACTCACGGCCCACAACCAATAGGTTGGAATGCCCAGGTCTATCGGCTTTCGCACAAAGCAGATAAGCCTCAACCGCCAAACAAACATGTGCACATATAACAGGTAATCACATAACAGTCTACAGACAACAAACTAATCTAACATATCATACCACATAACACATAATACCATCCTATTTAGCAGGATACCGATCTAACAGATCATGCCACATACCATATAATACCATCCTATCTACCAGGATACCAATCTAACAGATCATGCCACATACCACATAATACCATCCTATCTACCAGGATATCGATCTAACAGATCATACTAGCATAACATATCCAGATATCAATCAAAAGAGTCGGCCTTGTTGCCTTAGACCCTTGAGTATAGTAAGGATAACTCACATCGCAACTGTCGACTCGAAAGATAAGCTCAAACTCTCGGATCACCGCCACAAACTCCGCCACCTATATTCACCATAGAACCATATTCATAAATTTCCAATTTCCCAAAATGCCCCAGAAGTCAAATAGTCAGCCCTTGGTCAAAGTCAAAGTCAACGATCAAGGTCAATAATCCAGGTTGACCCGACTCATCGAGTGCAGTCCCTGACTCGTCGAGTCCTTCCAGAACTCGAGTAGTCATGAAAACCCCACACTGACTCGTCGAGTTTCTCTGCAACTCGCCAAGTCCAAGCGTGTCCAAAAGTAGGGAAAACCCAAGTTGACTCGCGGAGTCACCCCTCTGACTCACCGAGTCCATGCAGAAGTCCTTGCACGACCATTTTCATCGGACTCGCCGAGTTGACCATGCTACTCGCCGACTCTATTCAGTCCATTATCCATTCAGATGCTTTTTAAGCAATTTTAAGGTTCCATATTGCATATCCAGCTTCCCAAGGCATGTTTATCACGTAAAGTTGCAAACTTTACGTGCATGCAAAGCTTATAATGCTAAAACTAAGCTTGCAATGGAGTTTTACACTTAAGGAGAGGCTCATACTTGCTAAAGCTGAAAGCTTTATGGGCTTAGAGACCAAAGAGAGTTCAGATCTGAAGTTACAACTTCAGATCTTAACTCATACCCACGAATAGCTTCTTATCATGCTAAAAAGCCCTAATCTTTAACCAAATGAGATCTAGAATGAAATGAGGTCAAGGTAACGACTTGATACCTTCCAAAAGATGCTAACTGAGGTAGATATCAGATCCCCACACGTTCCTTGCTTCTAGCCTCTTGCCCTCCAAGCTCTTCTTACAAAGATCCACCTTTCAAAGCTTAAAACACACAAGAATGAAGCACATACACGGATTAGGGTTTTCTGGACTCTCAAGAGGCTGTAAGGGGGCTAAAGGAGGTTTATGATCCTTTAAATAGGGTGCAAAACTCCGAAATTTAGGGTTTCATCCTCCAGCTCCTACTCGTCGAGTCCATTCTTGGACTCGGCGAGTATGTCACTTAAACACGTGGCCCAACCCGCTTCTACTCGACGAGTCAGGGCATCCAACTCGTCGAGTAGACCTTGCAATTTATGAAAATTAAAGCTATAAAATTATCACCTGAGAGTCGGGGCGCTACAGCTTCCCCATAGAATTCGTTCATCCCTTCTTTAGGGTTCCTCAGCCCATATTGTAATTATCACATAATTATAATATCAATCCCCTTAATTTAATTAATCTCTTTTAACCACAAAATTAATTCTAAATTAATTCTGGACCAATATTAATTAAATAATATGATTTCTCTTTTAATATGTTATTCATATAATATATTAATAAACCATAATAATCTCTTTCTCCATTATTCATCCAGTCAAGTTGTTTTGGTGAAGGCAACCCAAAAGGACCATGTTACAACCGGGTCAAGTACATATCAAATATAGTTATGGATTTAGACACTTAATCCAATAATAACAACTACACCCACCAAATATATACACATATAATAATTTTTTTATTAAACTATGGCTCGACATGAAAACAGTTGGCCCATTCCAAAGCTCTCCAAAAAAACCCAAAATGTATCCACACTCCTTAACACTTAGTGTTGTTTGCCGGAACTGCTATAGATTTTTTTTAAGAGGTTATTAGTTTACTTTGTGTTATGTTTGGGATGAAATAATAATTAGTGAAAGACTTAAGTGAGTTTTTTTTATTGTTTTGATGAATGATTAGTTGTTAGTTTGTTGACTTTTTTTTCTAAATTTTATATTTATGTTAGTGAATCGGTGGATCTATATAAAAAGAAGAAAATAGTTAAGTAGTATTTTGTTTTTATGCAATAATGGAAAAATAAACCAAATACAAGGGTTATATGATTATCCTAATTTTAGGAAATGTAATTTTAAATATGCATTCATTTATCAACCCAATTTAATGGAAACAGTTTAAAAAAATAGAGTGAATGCAGAATGAGTTACTAAAGAAAACCATTTAAATGTGATTGATTTTGCTATTTACAAATGTAATTGTAAATATGCATTCATTAATTGTAACTTTGATTTATCGGTTGGTGAAATTATCATTGGCCTTGTCGGTTACGAATGAAAATATTATCAACCGTTTCTTAGTTATGTGTCCTTATAGATTTCAACCGTAAAAATGGCATTTGATGAATGTTTTAATATTTTTCTACTTTTTACTTTTTAAATTTCTTTTTATTAATTCAAACAATCAACGGTCAACTATACATCCCCACTTGAGTTCTGGGCTGGATCTGCCAATAACGAAGAGTCGAAGACTTAATTACATAAAATAGAAAACTACATTATTGTTTAGTTGTGAAATCATATAATTAAACCACATATATAATAACCAAATAAATCTCAAATTACACAAACATTGATTATAATACATAAAAGAAACCTGATCTCGCAATATGAAAATAACCAACTTTGACGGCTATCCAGGGTTCTTTTTCATTATATTTGTATGTGCTCTTTATTATATAGAAAGGTGTTTATTTCATATATATATATATAAGAATACCCGTTTTTATCCTTCAATAATGGAAACACTACCATTAAAAATCAAAGAAATGTAAAAATTATGTGGTTGTAAAAACTACATAATGTTTACCTAATAAAAACCTAAGACATGGAAAATGTGAAATCTCGTTGTAGATTCTTGTTATGATCATTAGCATGATATGAACCTTCTGCATCAGAGACATCTGCCTCTGAAGTATAAGTTCTTGGAGATGATGGAATGTCAATTTCACTCTCAGCTGTGGATGATCGATATTTTTGGTTATGGAGGAGATGAACAGGCGATGATTCACGACTTGGTGTATTTTCCAAGCCAGAATTTGAAACATCCACTGATCTGCCACCAAGCTCTCGCAACTTCTTCTTGTCCTTTGCGGCCTTCTGCCATTTCTTTAGAGCTTTGGATGTTTGTTCTTCAAATATCGACCTTTTCATGTGCGATCCCATCTTTAAATTTCAAATAATAGTACAATCATTAGCTAATTACTTAAGTCATTCTATTTGTTTATTTACTAAATTAATAATGTATCATGTTTAATCAAGTTCAAATGCACTTACTTGTGTGACTAAGGCGTAAAGAGGGAAAGTGATATAGCTACACATGATATGAAGAAGCACCCCCAATCCGACTCTAACACCAATTTGTACTATGCTCTCATGGTAACATGAGTGTATTCCAAATTCGTACTGCAAACAACCAACACATTTTATGAAGCATAATGAGCTATATTATAAAAATAAAAAATGAATTCTTTAAGCATTAAAACTATATGAAACACATGATTTTTTATGTAAATATAGAGATACTTACCACAGTCCATAAGAAAAACGCCATTTGAAATGCATTCTGCAAACGAGTATAAAATCAAATAAATTAAATAAATAATACCCAGTTGGATTGTAGAGTGCCATGTTTTGTATATCCATAATAATCAATCTTGTATACTACTTCATAGCTATAAACATTAGTATGATATTTTCATAGTTAAGTGTCTCTATGATTTTATACATGTGTATATATTTTCTAGCCACATGTTTTGAGGTTAAAAGATTAAAAAGTAATAAAAAAAATTATCTGACAAAAAAATTTCTATCAGTTTAACATTATTTAAAATTAAAAAACAAATACCAGTTATAATGATATATTCTAACAAGAATATTATTAACAAAAGTATAATATATGTAATATATAGAGTAAATTACACGAATGGTCCCTATGGTTTGGGGTAATTTGTGTGTTTGGTCTCTAACTTATTTTTTTAACTCGGAAGGTCCCTATTATTTGTTTTTGTTACGCGTTTGGTCCCTATCGTTTGTTTTTGTTATGTGTTTCATCCCTGACTTACCTAAATATTTAAAGAGGAAAAAATGGTGGGGTAGGAAAGATAAGGTGAGTGAAGTGGGGTTGGGGGTGTATATTTAAATAAATTAAAAAATCAATGGCAAAATAGTCTTTTTAGGTAAGATAGGGACCAAACGTGTAACAAAAACAAACAGTAAGGACCTTCCGAATTAAAAAAATAAGTTAGGAACCAAGCGTGCAAATTACCATAAACCATAGGGACCATTCGTGTAATTTACTCTAATATATATATATATATATATATATATATATATATATATATATATATATATATATATATATATATATATATATATATATATATGCTTATCACAATATTATAATATGCCAAATTTTGAAATCTTAATAATATTCTTATATGAATATTACAAATAGTATTTATTATAAGTAGTATCGTTGTTAAAATATTAAGTAGAACGGGGATTTTTGTATTTAAAAATAACAACAACCAAAGGTAAAAAATTTTACAATTATTTCGCCCCCAGGATATATGGCCCGAAGCACGTCACACAACAAGATGAGTGGTGTCATTTGAATCAGTACTATATATTGTTGTATGTATTTTGTGGTTTAATTTTTAATTTTTTCTATTAATGCACTTTACTCTATAACTTATTAAAACCAAATATTATAAGAAGATTTTGTGTAAGATTTGAATTATTGCGGCTGAAAAATTAAATACTATTATTTTATTTTACTTACTTGAAACAAAGTAAAATGGATCAAGAAAAGGACCAATCGGGGGCTATTGAACCAAAAGAATTTGTTGCTTGGCTCCACCACCGGGGCTCCTCGAACAATTGTTGCCTTATCTTGGATTTGTTGAGCCATTTCCATGATCACTAGTTCGAGTTTTGTACCCACCAATAGAAGAATCTATAAAATACCAAGCTAATAATTTTAGTTTTATGGCTGATAACTTAATCATAAGCAGTCACAGTCATCGTAACTTTATTAATTTGTTTCGGTGCTGAATATCATATTTTTTACATTCAATAAAACTTAAAATGTATAAAAATGGTAGTTCTACCACTAATGGGACGAAGGAGAGATAAGTAAGCGCATGCCATTCTGCATAAATGTAAAAAACAATGATATCATCAGTCTTATTTACGTTTTGTTGCATGTATAAAAATGATAATGTAGATTACACACACATGCATGCATACGTACAAATACATACACCATATGTGTATAAAGGGGTTGGCTAAAAAGACACCCTATTTTACCATATAGACATCTTTATTTAATTTTGAAATATTTTTATTGGTTGAAATTATATTGTTTTCGAAAAAACTGATTATAAATAGTTAGTTATAGGTTGACTTTTTAAAAAGTGGTCAATGAGTATCCAAGGTGTGTCTTATTAGCAACACCTGTGTATAAATGTATATCATAGCCCCTCTCATAGGGACCCATAAATTTGCCGACAAATTTTACTCCATGTTACATATAGTTCCATGGTGCATAAAAAAATGTATCTGACTCGGGTATGAATTGTGTTATTTTTTTGGTTGAAAATGTCATTCGGTTGAAGTTTTCTCTAGAACTGGTTTTATTTTTATGGTCAAATTGTGTAATAACTTGTCACATAAGTGAAAATGTACCACTATGAATTGTTAAATGGTTTATTTAATGGGTAAATTAGGCAAATACTAACACAATGGGACTCTATAATAGTGTAATATTTATTGATTTGTTTGTATTAATTCGTTGTCTGTGATTGAGTTTGTCAATTGCCACCTATCTTTTTTTATTTGTATATTTTTTATTTGGGTTTTCATTTGTTTTTATTCTTTTGGTGATTTTTATAGTTTCAAGGGAAAATGGAAAATTGAACAAAAGTAACTGAGACAACAATAGCCATATGACTTCTCTTTCATTATCATTTATTAGTTAATTTTATGATTATTAGTGATTTTGTATCTAAAAATATAAAAAGAAATATTTTTCATAACTAATTATTATATATATATATATATATATATATATATATATATATATATATATATATATTAAAGTTGTGAAGAAAAAGAACAGTAAACTGCCCATTTATTTGGCAGAATTGGTCCCTTAAGTTACATTTCCGGTCCCTGTATTTTTGTATATATTACAATTGTTGTCCCTTAGCTACAGTACCTAACCAGGGTGCTAACCACGGTACTCTTACTCGGTTAAAATTGTTCAAAGTTAGTTCCTTGGGTTACCACAGGGTTTCCAACTCCACCAGATTCTCGATTCTTCTTCACTTCTTCTGGCTGTATCCTTTCTGATAAACATCAACATTTTCATTTTCTTCCGCTTGAGGTACAAAATGGCCACCGCCTCCGCCAAAGCCTCCGTCGGTGAGTTGCATCGGTGACTTGTAGGATCCGTCGATTACTTATACCCTTCTAATTCGTTCGTTGTGGTCGATTCGATTTCCATCTAAAGAAACATCGACCAGGACGTCGACTCCAGGACATAAACGAGAGAAGGAAGGAGAATCAACGACTGTGGCGACGTTGACTTGCCGGCGGCGTGGATTGTTGGGGATGGTGCGATCGGCGATTGATGTGGCCCCGATGGGTGGAAAACAAGAAAAAAAACGCACACAATTCTCTTATTTCAGTTCTTGGAACCAACAAAAAAGGTTTTTCGTAGAATCGGAGTACACCAAACCACTTCATCGCTCTTAATTTTAGGGCTTCTGCTGCTTCTTATCTAATATCTTCCGATTGTTCCAAAAATTTTGGGGTGATATCTTCTGCGACTTAATTGTTTGTTTTTGTATTTGGAAGCTTGAATCTTCGATTATATATGTAACACCGCTACAAGATTGAAAACGGGGATGGTTGTGGCAGGTCCGACAGAAGGCGTAAGGGGCTAATTTCGGAAACTTTGCAGATACAGAAATTCTCCAAATTCAGCTGTCAGGTAAATTTTCGCCCTCTATTCTTCTTTCTTCTGTGCATATAATGGATACTGTAAGGTAGAATTATAGGTGAAATTTCCGATTTGTTGTTTTTTTGGTGATGCCATCTACTTTGCTATCAGAATCTGCTTAAAATAGTTCCATATCTCTTGCTTTAGTTTTTTTTTTCAAATGGCCAATGGGAATTGTTAGATTGAAACATGAACTGAAGTTCTTGAAGTTATGTTGATTGAGAGCCAGCACAAGACCTGATACATAAATTTGTTTCATTTTGTAATTATTAAATGAAGTAATGTTGATGTGTAATTAGTTCAATGAGATTATTGACACATTATATGACGTACTTATTTGGGTGTTGGGTTCTAGAAAGAGGAAATGTAATGGGTTTTTAGAAAACAGTAAACATCAGCTGATTGTAATCTTTAATGATCTTTTTTTTAGCAATTTTTGTTTGATTTGAAGGTATTGTTCCACATCTGGGATTAATTCCTTTGATATGATTATCCGTTAAATATAATGATGTTAAATGTTTTTTATTTTCAGAAACTGTGACAATTAGGATTGTTCCTCTGTTCATTTGTTCTTCCTGCAGTTGCTGATGTAGCTGCAGCTATTAAAGCTGGAATGTATGATATCAGTGAGTACATTTTTTTTTCAATTACTTCTAAATTATTATTCAAAAATTGATAAATTGATAAATTGTTTTTCAGTATTTATTACCGGATTAACTTATACAATTCCAAAACGTAATAACTTGATAAATTGTTTTTCAGTATTTGACAATTTACAATTTTGCTTATAGATGTAAAATAACCAAATTAGACATCTCCCATATTATTGAGTTTTTGTTATTTAAATTAAGGGCAAAATTGTAATTTAGCTTTCCCTGTTTATAAGGAGTTTCTAATAAGTTAAAAATTCTAATACCCCACCAAAATAAATACAAATTTACTTTTGCAATCCACACACATTATCGGTATTAAACATTTTAAACAAGCAATCTGAAACACTCTCTAATTCATGTCATTCAATTGATTCTTCAACTTTTCCTATATATAATGTATTATTTAATATCGAGACTCTTTTGGTAAATCCATTCAAGTACTTTTTATCTCTCAATGCCCAACAGAATGTCAAAAAATCAGTCTACCAACTACGGTAAATTACACAAATACCCCTCAGACATTTTCTTTTAAATCTTGGGCTTATGATAAAGTTTATATCTTTTTTTTACTTTAACAAACGGAAAAGCAGATTGAAAATAGCTACAACTCATGTTGAGGTAAAAAGCACATCTGAAAATCATTTTTTTAAAATCATATCATACAATATTCATGATAATGATTTGTTGTTATATTTCCTTTTATATTCTCAGATGGATTCGTATGATGATAAATAAACAACCACCCTTCATTGGTATGGTATACAATATTGGTTTTTTTTACATTATCTTTTTTCAAATTCTTATGATGATTATAGATATTATGTATGTGAATTTTTCACAGTTTACACATAGGAGTTGTTGGCAGAGTTTTGTTGTCAGTTATATGCCCAAGAAGCTTCTGAAACTCAAGGCAATCTATAATGTGGTACTTGATGAAACACTAATGTATTTACATGTCTATACAAAAACAGCAATGTAATTAAATTTTGCTACCAATATGGGCATTGTACTTTATATTCTATAATTTTCCCTAAATAATTATTGTTTTTGCTGTAGTTATTTCTGCCACGTGGGCTTCAAGTTGAGAAAACCAGTAACGTTTCTAATATTCAATGCCTTGAGGTAGATTCTAATTGTGGTCAACAAACACGTTTCGTTTAACTTTAATTTAAAAAAATGGCAATTGGGAAAAATGGTCCCAAAAGTTTTGTTTTTTTTGTTTCTTTTTTAAATAACATATTCTTGATGGATAATGGTAGATATTGTAACCTTTTTATTAGTATGCACAATTGCATCCAACAAAAATGTCAATACGATAATAATAGAAAATATGTTCTTTTTTTTCTTCAGCTGGCTTTATTCAAGTTATGAGGAATGAGATTTCAACTCGAAATGTTTTTATTATCAGCTAAAAGCGTTAAATGCAAAAAATAGCAACGTACACTAATTTATTTGTTTACTTTCATTTCTTACATTAGGACATTATACTCTATTCAATCTATCCAGCTGTATTGTATTTGAATGACATTATAGCATCATACTTTTGTGACCCACCAAACATCAACAAAAAAAATCCGACCCGTGCAACGCATGGGCCTCATTTCTAGTGTATTATTAATTATTGTATACTTTTCATATTTATTCGGCCTTATTTCTTGCCTGACCCTAGGCCTAAAAATGTTTGGACGGGCGTCTAAATACATAAGACATATTTGTAAATATATGGACGTGTATAAGATTCCTATATAGAAATTTGTTTTAAAGAACAAATAAAATATCTTTAATAACATAAGGCATATATATATATATATATATATATATATATATATATATATATATATATATAGAGAGAGAGAGAGAGAGAGAGAGAGTTAACCGTAAACATTTAGAAGTAGAAAGATGATCGAGAACATCCAGAGTGGGATACTGAAAAAACAAGATCAAACATATGAATCAATATCTTTAAGAACATAAGGCAAATATAGAAAAGACTAACTTATTAGTTTTAAACTCTTTAAAAACGAAAAGCATATACTCTTTGTTTACCATTTGAATATACGTAATTATTAGATCAATACTTGTATCATATACAAAGAAAAATACACTATATTTAATCCATTTATTGAAAAAGCAATTATCTTAGTTTTTTTGAGGAAAAAAATCATTACAATGTTTTATACCGTTTAACTATATCATTTTTGTGTGTAACAATTATAATGATGAAAAAGATCGGTAGGGCGATGGAATGGAAAGGCTTCACCCATCTGGCCAATTGGAGACAAAGTTGGCACCTTTTTCATCACCAACTTTCAAAAGGGTAGTAGTCTATTGAGTCTTTCGAAGATATTCATATTATATAGCAAGCCGATGGATGGTTTTATCGCAAGGAAAAGTAGAATGAACAAGATAAGGGTTGAGTTTGCAAGATTCATTAGGAGTGAAGACCATTAAGGTGTTTATGGAAAGGCTTAAGAACATCTAGATCGGTTCTTTCAAATTGAGAATAAACCTTGCGAAATACAAAAGAAACAAAGAAAAACCTAACTAGAGGATTCAGAGTGTTCTGGTCAAGCCTCAAAGGTTATGGAGTATCATAGTGACGAAGTAGTATATGACTACAATGTCTTATGTTGAAGTTGTGAAAGGATGTGGCTCTAATACAGAGGAGGAAGCTGACGACAACAATAGTGAACTCAATCTAGGATAGGAGGAATGTTTTTCTCATGGTCAACATCTGTACTTTAGAGTATGTACATGAAGAAGACGGTATAGTGTACGCTTATTGGTTTATCCTTATGAAACATTGAAACACATTCAAATATTCAATTTGGCGGAAGGCATGTATGGTGTATCCTTGTTGTATTTATCTTTTTCAATATTCGAATAATTGTCTTTTCTTAAGGGTTTGGTCAAAAAACAAAAATGTTCTCAACCTCATTCAGATCTTGATATGCTTTTTCCTTGCCTTCGGTTTCAAGGTTAGCCTTACCAAAATTAAGACCTTGGGCAATTGAGTGATTGCTACATATATCTTGGATATGGATTATGAGATTAAGTGTAAGATCGCTTCCTTTCCTTTTACATATCTTAGGATACGCTTATAGAAAGTCTTCCAATCGAAGCTATCATTTTGGATGATGATGTATCTTTCTTATGATGGGAGACTTATCTTATAAAAACTTTTGCTTGGTAGTCTTCGTACGTGTATGTTCTCTCTTTTTAAATCCTCGAACATGTTATTTACAAGGCTCGAAAGCATCTGAATAATTTCTTTTGGGAGCAATGTAAAAATCACTTGGATTGCTTGGAATAAGACCTTAGATATTAAAGAGAAATGCGAGTTAGAAATCGAAAGTCTTAGTGCCTTTAATATGGCTTTTCTCGGTAATGTGTTGGTGGCATATTATAAAGTGTAATTATAGTTTGTGGAAAGATGTTATTGTTGTGATTCATGGTAGGTAAGGTGGTATATGTAACACACGATCTATGGCCATTAGGAGCTCTATGTGGGGAAATATCAACCACCTCCACAACAATTTTAATATTTGCAACATCGAATTTGACAACCTTTTCAATTGTTAAAATAATATTTTGAGTTGGTTGTTAGATCAAAAAAGTTCCTTCTCTATTTCCTCCTTGCAGTTACCGATAGAACATAGATGGTAGCATTCTTGACCACTAATCCATGATAACGTATTCGAATATGGGAAAGGAAACTTATTGTTATGGAGAGGTCAACAAGTTTGATTACGTATAAATGCCAATTTATAAGACCGAGGGATGGATATCAGGTCATGACGTCCCATTATGACCTTTTTGTCACTATAAGCCTAAAACTGAATTTCATATTTTTTAGAGTGCTTAACGGTAAAAGTGATTCAGGGTATTCTTACTAGACTATTTCGGTATTCTTACAGGTCCATTGATGATTTGGAGGTGCCTAATGGTTTGTGTATCGGCATCAAAGAGGGAAGGGTTATCACAATATTATTTTACTAACTCTCATGTGGGTGATTTGTTCCGATAGAAACAAGTGAGATTTTAATTTGTTGGTTAGAAGTAGCTTCGAATTAGCTAGTAATGTCCCTTTTGACCTTTCATCGGTTAAAAAACATAGTTAGAAACTTTACTCACTTAATTGGGGTATGTAACCTGACTTTTAACTGCGAAAATCACTTGTAATTCTAGCTTCTCGTTAGCCTTTAAATTTTATAAAAAATTGTAATACACAAAATATAAAAGTATCGCTTGATAATGATGGAAATAAATACAATCTTAATTAGGGTAGCATTATTATAACAAACCTACCATGCTATATATCTTTGTGAGTGAGATAATATTTAAAACCCAGATCTAATACTCTCTAATAAATGAAGGTTTTTTTTGCCACCTGTCACACTCTAATTCAATTTGCCAAGTGTCTTTTGTGGTTATTTTGAATTAATTTTTTTTCCGCATGTCATTTTATGAGTTTTTTCTATTTTATTAAATTTCACATAATATTTTAATGTAATAATTACAATAAATGTAGTAATAAATGGATATTAATTTCACTAATAAACTTACCTTTTAATTTTAAAATTTCTAAAATTAAAGTTTCTTTTCTTTATTTAAATTATTTTTTTTTAAATTTAAAAGATAAAAAATATTTTCATTATAATAAATCATTATTTTTCTTATTATTTTATAAATTCAAAATTCTTAAATATTTTGACATTTATATTTTAATTTTTTTTAAATTAACTCATGTAATATATGGATCCTACAACTAGTTTTATATAATACGTAACTTATATAACAAATTTCATATAATTCTATAGTTTGTATTCGAAAAACTCAAGCATGTTACCACTAACACACACAAAACAACACGGAATTATCATCGATTAATTTTCGTAAGTCCGTAGAACAAAACTTTAGAAAGAAATAAACATTGATAACGAAGAAGTAAATAATTTAAAATCATTAAGAATTAAATAGCTTTGGTTAGTTTTTTGTATTGCCATCAAAATAGGGGTTTTTTTTTTTTTTTGTATTTATCCGAAAAAAAAATCAATGATATTCTATATGAAAGCAAGAACAAATTTAAATTCATCTTTTTTGAAGGTTAAGAAACCGTTGACATCTGGAAATTTTGACATGTTTAAAGTTTCAATAAAAGGGATTAGAGGAAGATAATAACCTTATACCCAAAACTGACTTGAAGTCATCTTCCATTGATCTCTTGATGTACTTATGGAAATCAAATTTGCTACTTGGAGCAAAATGTGCCTGCATTTTGAGAAATATATATGACTAAACATTTCACCCATAATTAACAACTAAAACCGATAGTAAATAAGGTTGAATAAAATCGTTAATTTGACACATACATGTTGTATGTTTGTTATTCTCTTATTCTAAAAGGCACTGTTTCAAACATTAATTAATAGACAATTTGCACGTAAAATATTTGAAATGGAATAATACTATTATGATCACGTACTTTTTCAAAATTCATCTTGATTTCGAGTGAGCATATAAAACAAATAAGGTAAGGAGTGTTGACTTACATTTATGAATCCATTACGAATGGTCAAATAATCAACCTTTGAGATAGATCCAAAAAACTGTCTAAAAAATGCCACCTGTTTCAAGCTAAAATTTCGTTAGATCTTTGATAGATGGTGATCACAAATGAAAATTATAACATAAAAGATCTACGATATAAAATTATAGTTGTAATTTGATTTGTAGAAAGTTAAAATTATTTATTTTTCTTATCATCATTATTATAAATCAATTGAAGGGAACATTGTTGGTGATTTTAGTGTCATCAATAAATTTAATGTAGTCGAGATTATATCTGAGACAAACTTAGTTTTATTTAGTTTTATTTTGAGAATGAGGTGCGGAGTGCACACATAGATAGCTAATAAGGACTCGAAACACGGAGGTCCCAAGGCAATGGCCTAGTTGTGATCTAAGAGGTATTGCCCTTGGCGGGATCTAGAGGCAGCGTCTTAGTTCGGTAATGGGTTACTGTCCCGATACGACAAAATAATTCATATAGAGAAAAATGACATAATCGAATTTTTCTGCCAAAAACCTAAAGAATACGCCTTATCTAAAGTGGCGCTTTTTCATCCTTAATATTGCCATCTTCTTGATATATAATAAGGATTTTGACGTTGCACAAGATAAATAACATTGGAAATAACTACTTATTCTCTTTGTAATATTTGTCTCAGCAGAACATAAACAAAGAAAGGAATTCTTTATTGGAATCTTAAATTTTGCCCTGATGATTCGTTCTTTCTTGAATTATCCTAAATCGGATTTAGTGATATTCCTAAAAAATAGAGTCGAAATCATAAATTTTGAAAAACATTTTCTATACATGATTCTTGAATTAGCCAAGTATTTTTGTTCATATTCAAACCCAAAATCTAATAAAACTTTTGTTTTATTTTATTCAATGATAATGTGGAACTTTAATAGGTCGTTTAACAATTTTACATTATAGATACTCATATTGTTTCTTATAATGTATTCCTTTCTGAAGTAAACATTGGCAAGCTCATAGTATATTACACAACTTTTACTTGAGAATTTATATGTTTTTACATTTTTTTTATATAAATAAAAAGAAGTTTACACTTACCACCCATCTTATTCCGGGTTTTGTTGAAAGACCCGTGTGTCGTTTAACAAAGGAGGTTTGATGAGCAAACCGAAATCTTGCGGGATCTAAATGCAAAAGCAGATAAATAAATAAATAAATAACATGATGGAGCTCCAATTTAACTTGGATCAAGTTACGGGTCAACCTGGCGTGTTGCTTTTCATTTGGTACCGTACAGTCCAAAAGCTAGCAGGAGATTTTGATTTTGATTTTAATTTTTTGGAACGCAAATCTAATTTACTTGTAATTTCACCTATGTACTTTTCCTCAAGAAAAAAGGAGATTTATTTTGATTGAATAGAGAATTTTGTATAAATCTATTTTGTAAGAGACTTATTTATAAAAAAAAAATGCCTTGGAAAAAATAATTACCGTTTGTGAACTCGTACTCCAAAGAAGTAGTTTCTGCTTCCCAAGCCTTCCATTTCTTCATCTAGATATCAACCCCAATAAAATCAATAAATATAATACAGTAATAATAAAAATTTAGTATCCAAATAGTTGATAAACTAACCATATAAATAAAATATATATCTTATTACATACACATCTAATATATGATATTTTAGTTTTGATCCGTGAATATTTATGTCATTCGTTTCATTAAAAAGAAAATTACTTTAAGAGTTTAGTATGAGAGATAGTTACTTTTGCGAGGCCAAGACCAATGATAACGACACTATAAAGAATATGGAAGACGGCAAGAACAAATATGAATATATGAAGCTGGTGAACGGCCGAATATGATATCATCTGCACCATTCCCTGAACATTCAAAACTTAATTCATTAATTAATTAATTATAATTAACTAAATTAATTAATTAAAACTTTAGGAATACTACAATTCATTGATTTCATATGATCAAATTATCAACAGATAAGAAAAAGTTGGACAACCCACAAAATTTCCATACCTTACCACAGGTACCAACGTCATCACTTGATGCAGCTAAAACTCGCCGGAATATCATTTCTTCAGCTAAATTAAGTAATTTCCGGCGACTTTTTCCTTCATGATCATTATTATCATCATCATCACCACCAGCACCACCACTACCATCACCTTTGCTTTTATAATATTCTGGTTTACATGGAAGCATCTTGTATCCTATCTTTTCGGGAACACATATCTTTGCAATGTATGATGTACCCACCGTTAATAGTAATGATAAAAACCCTAATAGCATGAGCTCTGGATTCACAGCAACAAATCACAATCGTTAATTATAGGTAAATGAGGTAATTAATTGCATGTATGTTGATCAATGATTACAAAAACTGCATGCATTCTAATTTAAGAGAGCTTGTTCTATCAATTTCATCGGCTCATGAGGTGCAATTGTAAAGCTTTAATTGGGCAAATATTCGAAATCCAGTGATAAAGAAAGCTTAAGCGAAACATATATTCAGCAATAAAAAAAATAATTAAAGAAAACAAATGAACGAAAATTGATATTTTAAATTATGATAAGGAAACTAAATTCAAAGCTTATCGAGAATATATATGTTAAAGTGTTATAAAAAGAAATTTAAAACAAAAAATGTTATTAATTTAATAAGTGTTAATTTGTTTATTTATTTGAATATACTTAATTATAATATTACCAGCTTTTATTTTCTCCAAGGCTTCAAGCATTGCTTTCTTCTGCTTTTTTTGGAACCACTGCATGCATGCAACATCATATGGTCAAATCAGAGGGAACGATTTTAACCATATATATCATACTTGTGGTTAATTTGTCAAACTTTACTGATTCTTTTGCAATTTAGCAATAATACTGATTAATTTTAAACGAAACTTCAAAAACCATACCTTTCCAATTGAATGAATCCCATGTTCAATTATGACAGAGATGATAACAAAGACAGTACAAACCAGTGCCACCGCCCATGTTGGTGTTTGCTCCAGTGACCTCTCGTATGATGACCCGGCCGCCATTCAACTCCTACCACAAATAACTACGGTGATCACCACGGTAAGACTTCTTTGCCTTTTCTGGTTTGTGAGAACAAGAATGCGCATGGACTATACAAGAATTGACAGGGGACAAATATATGGGAGAGAAAAGCAAAGTAATGCAAATAAATAATGAGGCACAAAGCGTGTTAATGAATTAACAATATGATACTTAAAACATTCTGAAATGGTCAATAATATTGTCGTTTCACTCTTATGTTTGGAAGTTAGGTTTTTTTTGTCGAGAATACCTATTCGAATGTATAAAATTGACTTTGTTATTTATAAAGTCATTAAAATTTATGGTTTTTATCAAATATTTTAGATTAATGATTTGATAGGATAATATACTATGTCCCATCTAAACATTTAATATTAAACTATTGTTTGTACACAATTTACCATTAAACTCTCTCAAATGTTTAAAAATCATGTTATAACCGAGTATGGTAGGATATCACTTGCTTATTTGGAAAAAATAAATTAAAAATGTAAATTGATTGATATTTGATATTATGTAGATATGGTTAGAGACTTGAGACTTGAGAGGGTAATGTGATATCCTGTGTGTACACATTTAGTCACTAAATTATCATTTGTACACGATTTACCATTAAACATTTTTCAATTGTCCAAAAACAACCATTAGGGTCGGAATTGTAGGTAAACTTTGATTTTGCATCTATGTGGCGGAGATGGGTCTAATATAAAATTGAGACTTATATTCAATTTGTAAGTCATCTAACATGCATCTTTTGTGTGAATGAGATACCACTTATTTGTAGGTTGTGGTTGAACTCATTCTAGGTAAGTAGTTTTAGAAATGGGATAGCACTTGTTTGTAGGTTCTTAATCATTTATAGGTAAGTGGTTTACATTGATTTTACATTTGAATGTATATGTTTTATAAATGAGATACCACTAATTTCCAAGGTTTTCTCTAGTCCAAGATGTTCTAATTCGATAGGTATAACAGTCTGAAAGTACAAGAACGATCTGATGCGCAGGGACAAGGTTTGAAAACTCAAACATTGAATGAATGCTTAAGATCAATGTCTGCTTGCTAATATGAGTTCCAGTCAAGTCTAGTAAGACCGGTCAAGTCTCAATAGATTCACTTAATAAAGTATTCAAGATATAAATGAAGAGAGAATATAATGATCAAGGCAAATGTATTAAATGAAGAACAAGAAGACTGTTTCTGAGAGAGTTAAAGAAACTTAATAAATGCCAAAAAGTATGAAAGATCCGTCTTTGACTTTGCATTGAAAGCTCCTTTAAATAAGAGTGAAGATTACATTGAATAAACTAAGAAACTAACATAGGATCGGACAATAGAGATGTTCTTGACATTCTGATTGTCTAACATTACAAAAAGACTAAGTCCTATGAAGTGTCAAATCAATACAAAGACAAATATCATTAAGTACATAAAGACAAAATACAATGACTCCGGATTAGTATACATTCCGGACATGATGTCCATTCCGGAATGCCTTCACTTCTGAACTTCTCATCTTCTTCTCTCTAGGTCCGGACAGGTTCCGGACCACTCTTCACTTCTGAACTTATCACCACTTCAGAATAGGGACTTAGGATTGCTAGAGGTTCACTTTCAGGTTCCAACAATCTCCCCCTAAGTGAACTTAGCAATCCAGTCTACTTAGATTGCTTCTTCCTTGATGAAGGTGTAGGCTCTGAACAACCATTCTCGGACTTCAATATATCAGGTCAATTGACTTACAAACTTTGCCTTGACCTGTTCCGAAGCATCAGACTTGGATGCACGAGAGATGAACTTCTTCAGGGCTTTGGTAGGAGCTAGATGTTTGTCAAGGACTTGGAAAAAGTCCTTCTTGTTTGTCTTTCTGGTTGTGTAGACAAACCCTAGAACCGGGTCATCGATTGGACCATCAGTAAGCCATTCAGCCTCTGGAAGAACAAACTCAATTTTTGCAATGAAGTCTTATGTTCCATACAAGTGTGCCAGTTCGTAGTCACGTCTGCAAAACTCCGCGACGTAGTCTTTGAGGAAACTCATAGTAGCATGGTAGGCACCCATACCGATGTCATCGTTTTGAATTCCTCTGAAGTGAGCAGCTAGTGTGAGAATGTCATTCAGGTTTATTGAAGGAAAATCAGCGTCCGTAACAGTCTGGTGAGTTGGTTTGTTACGGAAGATGTGAAACCGAAAAAGTGGGCAGTTAATATCAAACTTCACCAAGATTTTTCTGCCAAAACCATGGACTTTTGTAATCCTCTTCCGCGTCCACACTTGAGAGTTTGTGCATTCTTGAAGTAGAATGTTTCGAGCCTTTCACGCTCAGTCCGGAGGATCACTTCCGGATCGTCAGTGGGATGAAGTGGAGCGAACTTGATGTAGTACTTGCTGTTGGAGCGAACTTGATGTAGTACTTGCTGTAAGGAGAGAGAGGAAGATCAAGCTGTTCGGAGTCGTTTATGGGAATATCGTAATACATGAATGGGATGATTTCATGATCACGGAGAATGCCTTCATGGCATAGAGGATATATCCCACGCATCGGATCAGGATTATCCTTGAGAGCTTGAATCCGGATGTTGTCCTCTAGTGCCTTGTCGATTTGTTCCTGAGACCATCCATGGTTTTTCTTAGGAGGAGGTCCGGAATGGAAGGCTTGTTGTTCAGCAGTCATGGGCTTCTTGCCTTTATCTTTCTTTAATGTAGACATAATGAACTGCATGTTTTCATCAACAATTAACTCCGGAGTTGGATTTGGAAGAGGTTCTTCCAAAATATCATCAGGAATCCGGAGTGGAGAGCTCTGGTCTATTGGAGCAATTTTTGGGGCCGGAATGGGAGGCAGAATTGAAGGAGTGGCTCGGAAAGCTTGATCAGTAAGAAGAGACTTTACCTTGGCCATTTGGATACCCATTCGGAGGGCATCAAGCAAAGAAGATGGCCAGGAGACAGCGGACCAAATTTTCTTTTCTTCATCTGTCAAAGCCTTCGGAAAAATCTTTTTCGGAGCCTCGAGACCAAGAACTCCGTTAGTAACATATTTCTCTTCTTCTTCAGCTTCTGGTTCTTTAGGAGAGGAGTCAGAAAGGATCTTTACTTCATCTTCATCCGAGTCATTCTCATCCCGGAGTGTGAATTCCAAGGCAGGCTTCCATTGATGACGGGGACCTTCTCCCCCTCTTGCATCGGTGATTCGTCGAACCGGTGCAAGCATGAATGAATCCTTCAGACCATCGAACTTTTCAAACACCTTTTGGATTCCGGTGTTGAGTTGGCGAGTGAGAGCGTCGTAGGCTTCGGATGTGGGCGCTTGAGCAGCGAGATGATCGAATAAGTGTCCAAGCACAGCTAACATCTCATCAAACTTTCTATTCGGAACATCAACAATGTTCCATGTGGATCGATAAAGTTTGATGAGGACTTGTTCAATGATCAGATTCATCTCATCCTTCTTCTTGATCTCCTTCTCCAATCTTTGAATTTGTTTCTCATGACGAACATGGGTCTGCTTGATGAGTTCGTTGGTAGCAGACACCAAGTCATCATGAACCTTGAGCATGGTGGTAATTGTGTTGAGATAATGCTCGACTGAAGCATCATACTTCGCTTCAACTTCTTCCATGGAGTGCTTGAGCCGGAGAGAGATCAGTTGATTCAATTGAGCTTCTCTTTCAGCAACTGTGGGGTTGGACTGATGTGAGAGACAATGAATGATGACATCAAGTTTTGAATCTTTTCCGGAAACCTTTTGATCCAATTTGTTGTTGAGCTCAGTTACGGAAGTTTCAATTGAGGAAACCTTCTTCATGGTATCTGACACATTTATTTGCATCTCAAGGAGAGCAAAAGGATCGATGTAGTCACCAGTTGAGGATCCTGTGTCGGAATTGGAGTGATGTGATTTTGCTTTGTGAGAAGAGGGATTTGTAGATGGACCAGGCTGAGTTGTAGCATCATCTTCGTGAATCTTGATGTTGGAGTTAAATCCACCATCCGGAGTGGTTGAGGAGGATGATCCGAAGTCAAAGGCAGACTTGGAGGATGAAGGCTTGGATTGAAAACGGACTGAAGACATAAAGTTGGTATCCGAAACCGTTTTTCCTTCATCATTCAACATCACTTTTTCAGAAAGATCTTCATCCGGATCGGTTTGAATGTAGTTGTTGTGAGATTTGATTGGAGATTGTTCCGAAGCAAGCTCGTTGTCGGAATCAGCATCAGTGGGAGGAACATATGGAAGATTGCTTTGGATGGCTCTGTTACTCATTAAGATAAGCGTAGCTTCCACCTGAGCTCTAGAGAGATCCGGACGTCTTAATGCAGCCTTGTACATATAATCTTGCCATTTGGGATCGTTAGCACCTGGTCGTCCTGTACACCTTCCGGGTATTAGACCAGTTGAGGCATCTGAAGTCGGAGGGACTGCTCCAACTTCGGAATGCTTAGGGTCCGAAACAGGGGTTCCGAAGTGTGTGCGTGTAGAAGAAACAAGTGGAATATCAAATGTGATTCGTGGGTTTGTTCCAGGGGCAAGGAATTATGGTCAACACCGGCATCACCTTTTTGAGAAGGTGGGGGTGGATTATGTACAGACTCCTCGTGAGTGTGTGCTTGTGCTTTTGAATCATCGAGGTGTACCTCGGATGAGTGGGCAGGAGGGGTGTTAGGATGGCCAGAATCAGCCTGAATGTCATGAGTTCCTTCATGTTGAGAGGAGGAACTGACTTTGGATTTCTTTTAGGCTTTGAATTTGAGGGATAAGTCTTCCTTTTGACAGACTTTTTTACCTTGGTTCCGGATTTAGAAGGCTTGGCCTATTCCGAAATGGGTTCAACCGAGACTGGGGCGGGCTGTGTTGGGTCAAACACAACCGAAGTCTCCAAATGATGTTTTAAATAAGTGGAAACTGAAGGGATTAGGGCCAACATATGGTCCGGAAGACGTCTGACCGGACCAAAAGAAGATTGGTCCGGAATTCTTT